TTCAAATGTCCAAATGTCCACATCCCTGAACTCTCATCCCCCAAATTGCAAAACATCTAACACCTCAATCTCAAAACTCTAAATCCCCCAAATTCCCAAACGTCCATATCCCTAAACCCTCGATCCTCCAAAAGCCCAAATCCCTCAAACCCCCAAATTTCCAAATGTCATCCCTAAACTCTCAATCCCTCAAATCCCTCAGCCTCCAAATCCCCAAACGCCCCAAATTTTCAAATCCCCATCAGATGCAAAATTTTAGCTCCTAACGCGAGTGACGACCCAATCTTTTACACAATTTTTCCGGCGACAAAGCCGGATGAAATGTCACATCTCGGATAGCACGATCCCATCCTCTGTCTGTCGTTGTCATCGGGTTCACGAAACTAACTTCGCAGCGTCGTCGTTCTCTGTCGGAACAACGTGGCCCGGACAACTCTGATACTCGATGCTGCTTAGACATTCGCTACTCAAATATTCCTAGGATCCCTCTGCCGAGCGTTTGGCCCGTGTTTGAGCATTCACGGACAGGCTGGGTCGCGCGCTAATACGCGCGCTTATGCGCGTATCTACGCTCGAGTACAAGCTTTAAGCCGCGTTCTCACGGAACATCGGTTTATCGAGGCTCTTCCGAAGACACCTGCTTCCATCGCGCGTTAAATTAGACCGGTGTTAGGCCTAGTTCACGTTGTCGAACTATAGCGCCGGTAGGAAAAGTCTAGAGTTCACTTTGGAATAGTTCTATTCGTGTTTATTCAAAGACGAGTAGTTTCAAAGTACTAGCGGCTAGTACTAACTCTAGTAATAGCAGCTGGGACACGGTCCAAAATCCAAAGCTTATATACCAATATCAAGTCCTAAGTATCCTAAGATCCAGTATATCAAGGTCGAAAGCAAAGTGTCGAAGATCAAAAATTGTAACAGCGATCCTTGTAGGCGTTGTTTGTAGGCCTTGTTGAAAGTCGGAACTTTCACTAGATGTAATTTGAAAAGATCGCGTGACTGGACGAAAGTAACCTTAGTGGAGAAGCAGGCGTTCATGCAACAACTGATCGATGCGATATCGAGTCCCGTGCACGTAACGAGCGAGTGTAACTCTGGTAATTAATTAAACCACGCTAATATTGACACAGACCGGCGGGTATTAGTTTAATCGTCGTTTAATTATTCCGTGCTCAGTTGCGAGACTGTTAATTAATTATAGACCGCGAGAAATAATTCCAAGAGCGCGTGTCCGCGCGTGACGAAAGCGCCGGCGATAACGGTCCGAACAAGGAACCGGAAACGTCGAAGAGGATCAATGGTCGGCAAATTTCGCGCACGCTAATGGCCTCCTTGCGGTCAGCCACGCGGCCCAGTGTGAACACGGCATTAGAACGCGAGCCTCGTATCGAATCCCGGCCGCAGAGAAGGTACACGAACACGGACACGAGCACCGATACACCGGCATAACGCATTCTACTGACTGCCAGCCACCTCCTGCGGGTACAGAGAGCTTTTTAGCGAACTGTCAAACTCCGCCGAACCACGAATTACTCATTCCAGCACGTATTCCAATGTAGTCCCGCAGTGCGCACACCGGTGTGGATCAAAGACCCGGGGATATATGTATATACATACGTCGCGGACGAGAATTTGGAAATATCGATCTTGGTCAGCGACACGTTTGAGAATTGCCGAACCACGTGAATGAACGAGTGAATGGGGAAGATTGATTGACCGATAGATGAGACCCGGTTAGAATACCGATCGCGAGCCAATCCGCCTACCGCTCCCTCGTGAATATGTTTCGCCAACCCTGCCTATCAGCGAACTTACCATCCCTTAATCACTCATTATCCCTTCGAAAACTAAACCATCTTCTTCACAAACTCAATATAAAAAACACTTCATCGTATTCAATGTATGAAGTACAAGTTAAAAATTTGCTACAGTAAATTAGAATCTGTTCATTATGTAACTGGGTACTCTTCCACACATGTGTGTATTATACTGAATGTATAAAATACAAATTAAAAATTTGCTACAGTAAATTAGAATCTGTTCAGTATGTAACTGGGTACTCTTCCACACATGTGTGTATTATATTCAATGTATAAAGTACAAATTAAAAATTTGCTACAGTAAATTAGAATCTGTTCACTCCATCACTAGGTACTCTTCCACACATGTGTGTATTATACTCAATGTATAAAGTACAAATTAAAAATTTGCTACAGTAAATTAGAATCTGTTCACTATGTAACTGGGTACTCTTCCAAACATGTGTGTATTATACTCAATGTATGAAGTACAAATTAAAAATTTGCTACAGTAAATTAGAATCTGTTCACTACGTAACTGGGTACTCTTCCACACATGTGTGTATTATACTCAATGTATGAAGTACAAATTAAAAATTTGCTACAGTAAATTAGAATCTGTTCACTCCATCACTAGGTACTCTTCCACACATGTGTGTATTATACTGAATGTATAAAATACAAATTAAAAATTTGCTACAGTAAATTAGAATCTGTTCACTATGTAACTGGGTACTCTTCCACACATGTGTGTATTATACTCAATGTATGAAGTACAAATTAAAAATTTGTTACAGTATATTAGAATCTGTTCACTCCGTCACTAGGTACTTTTCGAAACATGTGTGTATTATGATCAAAGATCTCTGATTCTTTTCCTTGTACATTTAGTTGTATCTCCTTGTATTTATCTCCTTAACTGTATCTGAGTTCATAATTTCTGAACGTGGATTCCTTGCAAATATTTTATAACATATTCTCTTCCTATACGAACACATTTGAAATACATAGAATACATAATGTATACTTAGTTGCTAATACCAAACTAGTTTAAAGTTTAGATAATGTGTTAACTGCGTTCAGCAGTATTTTCATCGCCATTTAATACGTCCCCATTTAACGTTGTTCCAGCGCTTTGATTCCAGGATCATGTTATTACTATTTGAACGCGTTATTAGTCCCCGAAAATAAATAACAATTGAACGGGCTCTAAAACGCCCGCGGCATGCGCGATAGAGTATAGAGATTTGAAATTTTCGAATTGAGGTGCTTAATTTACATTTTGACTACTCCGGCCCGTAGGGATTAATAATATCAATCTAAATTATCAATCGACTGCCGTTCAGCAAACCAGCTTATAGGAAACCCTCAAACAGTACTAATTGCAAGAGACCAAGTTTATCGAAACTAGATCAGAATTCCGAATGGTATCGAAGTAATGTATCGAATCATTAATCTCGAAACATTAAAGGATATACTGGATAATACTTAGTAAAATGTATGGTATCTACCTAACTCCATAATGAGCATCCTAATCTCGAACATCAGCAAATGTTTGCTTTTGCAAAGCGTTGATACTACATCGCTCAGAAGCAAGTTTAGCTTAAAATATTTGGAACGTTAATGTAATGAATTTTAGGTACCTTTGATGTGAGATGGAAAATTAACAGTTTACCTGCTATTCAGTTTGTAGGAAGCTGACGTAACAAGCATAGTTTAATCAAGATCTAAACTCATTGACAATGCTCTTAGTCAAAATATTCGAGCGACTGTTTGGTTTGGGAGAAATAAAGGAGCTTGTTGATCTCTGCTTTCGAGTATGCCCTCAGGAACTGGGGCCACTGTCAATAGACGAGGTCACTGTATTTAGATATTGGTATGATGGTTTAGTAAAATTGGAAGTCGAGTGGGGGAATTTGGGTGCTGAGAATTTTGGGATAGGAAGTTTGGGAGGTGAGGAGTTTGGGATGTTGAGAAATTTGGGGGTGAGAAGGTGGGATATTGAGAATTTGGGATTTGAGAAATTTGGGATATTGAGAGTTTGGGATGTTGAGAAGTTTGGGATATTGAGAGTTTGGGATGTTGAGAAATTTGGGGGTGAGAAAGTGGGATATTGAGAATTTGGGATATTGAGAGTTTGGGACATTTAGAAATTTGGGATATTGAGAGTTTGGGATGTTGAGAAATTTGGGGGTGAGAAGGTGGGATATTGAGAGTTTGGGACATTTAGAAATTTAGGATATTGAGAATTTGGGATGTTGAGAAATTTGGGGGTGAGAAGGTGGGATATTGAGAATTTGGGGTTTGAGAAATTTGGGATATTGAGAGTTTGGGACATTTAGAAATTTGGGATATTGAGAGTTTGGGATGTTGAGAAATTTGGGGGTGAGAAGGTGGGATATTGAGAATTTGGGGTTTGAGAAATTTGGAATATTGAGAGTTTGGGACATTGAGAAGTTTGGAATATTGAGAGTTTGGGATATTGAGAGCTTGGGGCGTGAGAAGTTTGGAATATTGAAAATTTGGGGTTTGAGAAATTTGTGATATTAAGAATTTGGAACCTTCAGAAATTTGGGACATTGAGAAGTTTAGAATATTGAGAATTTGGGGTTTGAGAAATTTAGGATATTGAAAACTGGGGATTTGCTAAATCCCCTAATTGCTAATATTAAATATTTGGGATATTGAGAATATAATAACTTTCCTAATGTAACAAAGTAACATAATAAAATAATAAACATAATTAATTTCCTTGAAACATAAATCTTTGAGTCTACATGAATTAAAGAATTTTGCATCCCGCCATTCAACTATGAAAATGCAAAAGTTATCAATTGCACGTCACCCTAAAACGAAGGCTGCTCTTATTCAAAAGTGCATCGGAGCGTAGACGCGAATCTATCTCTTTAAATAGAATTACGGAGAGTTACGACGTTCGAGTAAATCTGACACGAGCCTCTTTAATCTCTGCCTGTTTTCGTCTCATTTTCCCAGTCGCTGAACGCGAGAGAGCGTCTCGGCTCGACCGGAAACGATGGCAGCTGAGACGCCGGAAGCAAGATCGTAACGCTATCATCCTTGCTTCCAAGCGATCCGCTATTTACTGCCGTCTGACCGGCGAACCGTGATGTTACCGAAATTTCCACATCGTTTGCAAGTATTTATACTTGCCACGCATCGTAGTAGTACGTAAGCACTTACCATTGTGCCGCGTGTCTGCTCCGGAATGTGAAAAATTCAAAACTGGATTCTGGAAGTCGTCTTGAACTCGAACTCCATTTTCCTGGACGTTGGAGAACACTTTCCGAACAATTGTATGGATGCACGAAATTATTTAACGAATACTTTATTATTTAACGAGTATTTTTTGTGAAGGGACAAATTTTGAGAACGAATCGAGTCAAGATGGCGGACCATCTTTTTCAACTTCTCGAATTTTTACAATAAATGTTCACGCACGGAGTGTTGGTGAAATATTAATTGTTATAAGAATAGTCTTTATAAGTACACTTATAATGTAACACACTTAGCACAGTTGCGTTAACGAACGAATTTTATTTTAACGAACGGATTTGCGCGCCACTTTCTGTCACGTTACCGACCCGCACGGCGATCCGAAAAGGACTGTAGTGGCGACGCTTCTCGGCTGCCTGCCGAAGCGACGCGGCCACGGACTTCGCGCGCTTTCGCTACGAATTCAAATTCATTTTTAACTAACTCGAAATAATTCAAGTTAATTTTTAAAACAAATTATGAAAATTGTGTCACTGATATTTACTATGATTTTTTTTATAATGAATGCTAGTTTTGTATCAAATTATATATATAAAATTTAAGTTAATTAAAAAGTTTCATTTCTTTATTTATTACTCCATAAATCAACACAAGATCAAATATAGACATAAAACTTGTTACTAAAATATTAAATGCAATTACCAAAGTTAATTAGTTCATAATTTTCAATTAATAGAGGATAGATTTGATATTGTGTACAATATACTTTATTATTAATAACATAATTACTGGTACTATGAATAATATATTGCATATGAATAATAGAACAGCATCTCATTTATAACTCATTGCACTAAATTTGATTAATAAACATTCTGCAAAATGTCAGAACTCATTCTCCAAACTATGGTTCAATAATAATTCCACAATTACTTCTTAATATACCTTTATATTATTTAATACACATTTATATTTCTCATTTACATAATTTTTTTATATCAACGTATAGTAACATGGTATCTTCACCGCCATCTAGCAGCAGACATGGAAATATCAGCCCGAAAAATTGTTATCTCTTGAAGAACTTCTCATCTTTATTGAAGCTAATTCTTGAAGCAGTATTCTACAAGTAAAAGATTTTATAAAAGTGAATTAACATAAGATTATCAAAGGCATCGACACTGAAATGCTGAGCCACCTACCGGTAACCGCCATGTTCCCCAATTATGAAATCTGTTATTACTGCGGACGATGTTGCAGAAAAAAGTACCTTCGCACGGTACATCAAGCATCCCCTAACAGATATTCACCCCGTACGCATGTCCTGAACTCGGTCAAAATTCGTTTGATCGATAGTCGAAATAACATGGAAGAGCTCAGTAGATGTCACGATGCAGGCTGCATCGATTTAAGGAAATTTCTTGCGAACTGACATAGGACCGGTATTCGAAATTCTTGCAACATGGACTCGAAATGCAAATGCAAAAGACGTAGGACAATGAAACTCCCCGGAGCCAAGTACGTAAATTAAAACTACTCGATATTGTAATTTAAAAAAAAATTATCGATCAACAGATGGGAGAAACCGATTCCAAATTCGAAAGAGTACTGGAAGGAATTCTGCGATAACGAGGAGAAGAGGTTGATAGTGGTACGCAATCCTTTCTTTCATATCTCTCCCCTTTCCAAAAACGATTCTGTACTTCCTGATTTGAATACGCGAATCAATAATTCATTTAACCTTTCTCTGTTCAATTCTGACACAGACAAGTTCGAAAACTCTTCGCACAGATCCGATGGCAAACTATTTCCAAAACCAGCGTTGAAAACTCCATCTCGGACAAAAATTTCAGACACAACTCAGCCTAAAGTTGTACGAATCCCAAAATTAGGTACTCGTGGCCCTCAACCCAGTTCCGTCAGGATTTTCGCTGGTGAAGTGGATGGTGATGAACCGAGAGCCGATTTCGCTGCTCTACCGGTGCTCCATAAGTTCCGAACGACACCGGCATCAAACAAATTACGGAGACATTTAAGACTGCCAGAGAAGACAAATTCGTCGGAGAAACGCGCTCCCGGGAGTCGCGAAAATAAAACTGCGAAACCAGAGAGCGAACCTGAGCATACGAAAAGTCGGGGCGAAGATCAAAAGCTGCCGACAGATCAAGTCACCCTGAAGTATTCCGGCCGTTTCGCGTATAAAGCGCTCAAACGTTTAACCAGCAATAAGAAGTTGGACTTCGAGCCGAAAATAACGGAACAGCTACTTTCCGAGGCGAGCAGAGAGTCCTCGGACGAAGAACGGGGGCCGCTTAAGCGCGAAGAACGTAAACAAGACAGCGAGAAATCTTTGTGCTTTGGAGACGCGCGAAGAAAGTCGATTAAGGATTCAGAATTCGACGTCGACGGTGCGTCTTTGAAATCGGAGGAGGCAACGTCGAAGACGATTCTCTCGGAATCTCGTTGCACGTCGGGACCCAGCCTCGAATTCGTGTACCCTGAAAGCGTGGAGAGCCGTTCGGGTCGTGTCTTAGCGTCGATTCCGAGGTTGTCCGGGTTCCCGAGGAAGAATCGCGACAGGTGTTTGCCGTGCATGTTCAAACCGTTCGAAGCTCCGCTGGAACGAAAGATATCTTTGCCTAGAACCGCGCTGCGGAGAATCATAAACTCGAGGAGCGCCAGGATCGCGTCGTCTGGCGACTCGTCGGATGACAGCGATTCCACTTTCCTCGGCGGCTCGAAGAATAAAGCGGAAGGAACGAATCGCGAAGTCGATGTTACGTTTGACGAGCCGCGTAATGCGGTTCAAAGACAAGTCACGACCGAAGAGCTTGTTCAAGAAAAACGTCAGGAAGAGAAGAAGGAGAGTACTGCGGATTCGGGGATTTCGAGTCAAGTTAAAGAGGATGTAGCTCCGAAAAATTTGAACGACGTCCAGACGAAAGCGCCCGCCTCGTTTCACGACGAGAGCTCCGAGGAGGACGATTCGATTGTCATTTCAATCAGCGACGAGCAAGCTAAGCCGAAATATTTCGTACCCTGCCATGCCCCCACGGTTTTCAGACCCAGCTTAGAACCCTTAAGAGCTTTGAGACACAGAAAACCGACCACCCTGCAAGATCGAATTGCCATGCTCGAGTCATCGTGGTTGAAGAAGAGTATTTCTGCCGACGATCAGGACGATGTTCAAGAGAAGGCGAAATCCGTGGCCAAAATGGACGAAGGGAAGGTTGTTCCTCCTTTGACGAAAGCAAAGTCCGTTTCGGAGAAGCTGACGCTCGAAAAAGACGCTCCCTCGAGGAAGGTACTCAGAAAGGGTTGCAGTTTTGCGAACTTTTCCACTCGCTCTGATAAATCGGAAGTCACGGACGATCTTCTAGGGTCGAAGACTGTTATCGATCCAAAGGCCGATTCGAAATTACCCCTTACTCGCACGAACGAGATCGTCGAAGCGTTAGGGAACGTCGAGGAATCATCGTCGACGACTATGCTGGAGATCCTGTGCGAGGAGTTTTCGAAGCGTCTGTCAAATAACATCGGAGATCCGAGCGCGGAAAAACGTAGCAAAACGATCGCTACGCTGACGAGGTTGTTAGCCGAGTCTAAACGTTATTTGTATCCCGATAAATTTCCCTCTGACTTACTTTTCTCCACGAATCAGCCAATCTGTTGCAACCCCCGAATCCTCCGACGAATCTTGCCCCTGAGCAGCTACAATCTGATTGCGCCCCTACTGGGATTGCCGGAATGCCATGCGAAAAGGGAATCCCGGTACGAGGATACACGCGAGAGGCGTCATATCGATCAGCGACATCCTACCGGCGAAACTCAGTCCGTGGATGACAGCGTGTCATCTTTGGCGGTATATCGCTTTTTCCGTTGATTGAAAACTCTGTTTATAGTGTTGTAACTTTTCCGGCTTGTTATTAATACTTTAACAAGTTGTTCCAGTTTACTACGTCTTTTTAAAGATAACTTCTTTTATAATTATCAAGGTGCATCCACCGACACCGAGAGACATCGAATCGGCCACTGACAAGGCGAAACTGGGTCAACGTAGATACAATCCTTACGCTCTATTTCTGAGGAAACCAAGACGCAAGGTGTAATGTCGATAGCCAGGGTAATCCGTGAACAGGAAAATCAATCAGAGGGAGAACGTTATCAAATTCACGTGTGCACAGGTTATTACATGGCGGCCATTGACGGAGGAAGACCTCGAGGGCTACGATCCGAACGCCACGTTGAAAATGAGGGCCGAGAACGTGATGCAGAAGATATTCTCAGATTTTTGCGAATGGGTCGAAAATTTGGGGGGAACGAACAAAACTATCGATGAAGAGGTTCTCAGGGATATGTTCGACATCGACTTCGATGCGGAGGCTTGCAAAGCGATGCAGGTTACACATCTTGGCAATTTCTTAAACTATTAGTTTGTCTGTAAAATTATGGGACACAAACTACTTTCATTTAACATTTCACATTCAACACTTAACTATTCATTTTGCAGTCTAATCTTAATTTACCTTTGTCAAATATGAATGTAACCTTTGAGTGCAGAAAAATGAACTTCCCAAACGTTCAGGAACATTACATTGTTAACGGATGACGAATCAATATGCAGTGCACGCTGCTTCTTTATGGCACTACTGTGTACATTTGCAGTCGATCGTTTTTCGCATACAGTGAATTCGTTTTTTGTTCGATACAGCATGTGTAAAAGAGACTAGCACTAGAATTTGTCGAATGAAACTGTTAGAAGCTTGAGATGTGTACACATGATTGTAAGATAGCACAAATTATAAGATAGACTGCAAAGATAGTCAAAAGTTTCTTCTTTAATGATAATTGTAATAAGAATACTTCAATCATACTCATATATTTCTGCATACATCTTTGACAAAAAAATGAGGTACGCTTAAAATGTTAAAGATATTCGACTGCTTCGAATCCCGCAAAAAAGAAAGTAAATGCGTTGGTTTAATTATTCAGTATATTGCCCATACCTAAACAGGTATTGATTCAAGAAATGCCTGTGGTGCCTACGCCGGTGGCTATAACAAGGAACTCCCTCGGTGCGAGTAAGCTCGCCATGACGAGGAAACACGTTATGAAAGATGCCAAAGCGGAGCAAAAACCGGCGAAAATAAAAGCCTTTGGGACCAGTATACCTTGGCAGCTCCGATTTGTACCACCTAATAATCAAGTCGAGAGAAAGTGGCTGCGTTGCGACAACGTTCCGAAGGATCTCGAAACGATGGACGTGGTTTGGAAGGGCATAACTCATCTGAGAAGCGTGAGAGGATTCGTCGATTGGCTGAAGGAACATCCAGAGGTAGTACCAACAATTAAACACCACTTACCTAATTTAACTTCGTTTCTGGCGATCAATGCCGTGCTTAAAACGATGAACAATCAAAGCCATCGCTAACGCGGCATTATAATAGCAGGCCAGAATGCATCGAAATCCTCTTACACGGTGTTACAGGTTCCTCAGCCAGAAGCTTTGAAGAAAATCGTATCAGTGGATGCTATAACTCTGAGGCAGATAGAGGACGAAGAGGCGTTCGCGCATCTCGAGCTGGATATTGATCAAATTAAGAGCTTCAGAGTGCAACACAGCGTTGATGTATCCATCTGAATTATTTACTTTGTTTCTTGTCCTTCTTTTCGATCGTACTCGACGGCAGAGACTTCTTTCAAGGACAGTCGAAAGTGAACAGTTTTTAAAAACTTCCATAAATTTCAATTCCAAACCTTATTTTAATTGAACTCTTTGTAGCAATGTTTTTAATATATGAAAAGAGTTATAGAAATCGACGTCGCACCCCTTTTCGCGAATATTTGCCAAATGTCATGTTTATGGCGCGAAATTTTACGTTAAATGCGAGTTTATCGAGAACGAAACGAGAAGATGAAAATAACTCCGCGAATATTATTACTGTTCGAATATTTCGTTTCCGAGGCCGGTTAAAATACGCTGGTCGCTCGATATTCAGGCAAATAATGATAGCGAACGATCCGTCAGAAATTCCTCGCAGGCTGTGCGTTCACGGAGGCTTTAGAGGTTAACCCCCTTCGTTTCGTACGCAAAACGGGGGCTTTTGACATCGTGTCATCGACTGGTCGTATCGGTTACACGCACGCATTTGGCTCATTTATAAGCGAAACGGAGGTGAGAAATTCAGAAATGCCGGCCATGCAGCCCAGGTCGATCGGCTGACCGTTGATTTTTGACGCTCATTTTGTATTCGTCCGACATTTACTGCGGCATAATCAAATACAATTAAAATGTTCGTGCGTAACGGCTCATTTTAAAGCGACACGACAAAAACGAGGAAAAAAGTGTTGAAAATTCTGTGAAAACCTTTATGTCGATCGAGGTTCTTTCGCGCCGTTAAATTACCGCACCTGTTGTGTATTTGCTGCATCTGTTCAACGGTCTGCGTTTGGTAAATATTTGTGCAAGAAGAGATTTGGGTCGAAATTTGTCGAGATAACAGTTTGTATTAAATTTTGGCTTTGGAAATTAACCTTGAAAAGGAAAACCTTTGAGAACTGTTGTTCCACGCTGGAACTTCGGCGCGAGTGGCTTTCCCTAAGGGAGCGAGTTAATGTCCGTAATATTATTGAAACTAGGAACGGTTTTGCGAATATTTAGCTGTCGGAGGAAGAGGAAGAAAAAATAGCGCTTTCTATTTAAAACGCGGACGATTAACAACGCTCTGGCAAAATGAAAACGAGAGACGCATTCAGAGTGGTGGTAATAAATAGCAAATAACACGGTCCGATGTCAATCCGAGCGATTCCTTTGACCGCGAACGAATCGTCCTCGTTGTTGTCGATGTCAATAGTTCCGCGGGCGACATAATGCAAACGAGACGTCGAGGAATATTGGAAATGTATCGCAAGAGCCGACTCGTCCTGTTGTCATCTGGCGGCGACAGCAAAGACACGAAATCATAATCTTGGCGGTGGAAAATCGTCGGAGGGAAAGCAACGAGAATCTCTCACTCGCCTCATTTACGATTTATCCTCTCGCGGTTATTCGCGTCTTTCATCTACGGCCAAAGCGGAATCTCCGACTGCTTAATCGAATCTGGAAAATTTCAAAAATCGAGCAGCCACCGCGTCTCTTTTGTGCGCTCGTTGCGTGGCTCTTTATGCTCACTTTTCGAGGGATTTCCCATGAGATAGTGTTCCCTGTAGAAGAGGGAGGAAAAAGGAAACGACGACGAGAAGGCGGGTCGAAGGAGACCTTAAAAAAGAAGCGGGGTACCGAAAAAAGTGGACGACGAGGAAAGCCACGGAAGCGAAAGAAGGACGAAACGTCATCGCTGGCCATTGGCCATCCGTTTCGCTCCACTTGGAATAGAGACTTGCGCTCGACCGAGAAATTTAACAAGGCGCACGCTCTCCACCGACAATAGCCAACTTTCTAACCCCTTATACTCCACATTTTAATTACTTCAATTTAAACCTTTGGTTCGCCACCTCCAAAAGAGAGATCGTGCTGGGTAGATTTGTAGATCGCTGTCGAACTATTTCAGGAATAAATTGATACCCATTTGCAGTCATCTAATTCGATTGGAAAATTTAATGAATGTCCCACATACTACGCTTCGAGCTTTTCAAGAGACACCAGATATACCCAGCAGAAGATGTAGTTCCTTGAACGGAACTTTGAAGGGGATGGAAGATACGAATCGGATCGATTCTAAAACACGTTCGTAGGCGTGCAACGATCAGCGTCGACAATTACCGTCCGCCACGCGGTTAGGTTAGCAAGCGGATCGCATTGGCATTCGTGCACTTGGAGCCTCTCCCGAAATCTTTTATTCATGCGATCAAGTTTGCATTTAAAAACTCCGCTTCGTGGTCCCACTTCCGAATCGTCGTTTTTCTGACTATACGAAGATCAAGACTCGGTTCGCGACTCGCATGCGAACGTTACGCAAAATCTCGGGCGTCTTACGTAAGCAATGACGCGTCGGAGATTAGGGAACGTAGGAACAAAAACGGTTCTCGATTATGAAAGCCGCGCGTACCAATGGTAGCGGATGATCAAATCGAACGAGCAGTTGTTTTGTTCCACGACATAGGTCCGAGAGAAACGTGGTTTTAGGGCGATCCGGTTCGCTACGTTCGTTCGACAGAGGAGAACTCGAAACGTGTTAGCTCGTACGTGTAAGCTATTCACAAACGAAATGGGAAGCGCTTCCTGCCGGCCATTCGCGCCAGTTCGATCTATTGTCGTCAAGTTTGTGACGGTGTGTATATGACGGCCAGTGTGTCTATTACGAGTCTATCGCCGCATCTTTCTCGGTCGGTCGAGCGACGCCGCTCTTCTGTCTTCGTTACCACCGAGCCATTCACGGAAAACGGCCAGGGTGACGTTCGACTGGATTAACGTGTAATATTAACTCGCTTTTCTCGCGATATCGGTTAATGCACGTTCCACTGCAGGGGAAAATGAAGAAATTACTGTAGCAACTTTCTGTTCGGTCGTAACAACCAACCCTCCGGCGGATTTAACGAATTTTCACGAGAGAGGCGGCTGCGAGGCCAAGTAAATACTTTTTTTCTACGCTTCCTGATTGAATCGCTAAGACGCGAGACGTCGGCTTCGTATAATAAACAAGTTACCCGCCGGAGAGTGGATAACGTCCGGGGCGAACGAAAAATGCACGATGCGGACGAAGGACGAGATGAAGCTGCTACGAAAAAGGTAGCCTCGACGTCTACCTCAAAATTGATAACCTCACTCTTTCACTCTTCGTTCATCTTCTCACAATTAACAATCGCCAACTTTCCACCTACTCAAATTTGAAAATTCTGCAAAATTTCAAAGTCCCAGACCCTATCGCCCATGACCGAAACTTAGAAAAGTAATATCGTATAACGAAAGGCACGTACCGGGCAATATACCCGGACCGAATACCGTCCCGTTTCTTCCATTCTTCGAGTTCCAGTTAAATTTCAACAAACTCTCCGAACGACGGCATTGCACAATATTAAACAGCGACGGGTAATAGACTTCAACGAACATCCGGTTTCACCCGGAAGGCCGCTCCCGTCACGGTTACTCCCGGCATAGTTACAGCCGTGACACACTGTTAGGATGCGATTCTTCTGTTCCGACGGTGCGTCACGTTTTATTGCCAAAGGACGCGACGTCGACGACGGTCAGTGGTGGATCGGTCAGTCTCTCGTTGTCCTTTGACCCGGTGACAACGTGCTCGCTACCTACGGTCGTCTCACGATCGAGTACGATTAATCGTCGTGCGAACCTTTACCGTCCGCTTCGTATCGTTCTAAAGCCGCGACGAAAAGATCGATGCGTTGCTCGTGGTGATAGAAGACGAGGAGAATTAGGCACGTGGAGACTAAAGGTACGTTTCTACGATTTTGAACAAAGGGAAACGAGCAAGATTTTCCGGCGTTGCGGTTCCAAGTAATAGAAGACTGGCGGCACGTGACGACACTGTACGCCCGTTTCTTCGCGCGTAAGCAAAGCAATTAGACGGAAGTGCGAAAGAAAGTGTGCGAGCGTAATGACGCAAGCAGGGTAAAACGTGGCCGTCCAACGTTTCCAGATGGGTACACCAAACCCTCCTCGTCCACGGACGAATGTACCTACATACGTACGTCGTGTCTCCTATTTTTTTTTCAGCCCTTTGCGTGGACCCTCGTCCAGTTTGCTCTAAACTGACCGTAAATGGGACGCGATTCATCGACGCTGTAAGGCCGAGTTTCGACACGAAAAACCGACGATCGATTGGCTGGCCTCGTTTAATTTTAATCGGCCCCCATGAATCGTTGGACCAGAAAGATGTTTCATCTGTGCTGAAACCGTCGACGATTCGAACGTACGATCTGCATCGGAAACAAAAAAAAAAAAAAATATTGAAAGAATCTTCAAAGTGTAGAGGAAATGGTATACGGCGCTCTTATAAGGGAGGACAGATAACGCGTTCAGGTCGAATTCTCAGCGGGTCCAGACGAGCTAGTTTTCCTTCTTCTTGGGATTGGAGCGAGTCAGGTGGAGGTAGATCGATAGGGAACCCCTTGTCCGGGGACGTCGCGTAGGCATCGTTGCAGGGAAGGCCGCAAAGTATATTTACATACGGAGCCTCGGTCAAAGCCTTTACTTTGCGCCGATATCAGTCGTACGAGTCACGCTACGACGTTCAAGGATAGCCCTTTCCCTCGAGCACTCGCTCCACCGAATCGGAGATGATACGACCCCTTTCCTGGCCCTCCGCGTTTCACGCTGGCACAATGCTTACCAGTGAAAATCGAGCGAACGGACCTCCTGTTGCGAGCAAGGATATGATCTGTTAGAGTTCATTAGAACGCGTTGCATAAATTGTTTCTTGCAACGGACAGCTGACAAGTTCGTCTGCTCTTTTAAAAGCTTCGCTCGCTTTTGTTGATGATAAAATTCCGCTGCTTTATTACGCTGCTTCGCGAATAACTTAACGAGGTTTTACCTACGTAATCCTGTAACGTCACCAGAAATTTCTCTCGCTGTTATTTTCGGACCGATCATCGATTCACCTGTTGATAATGCTATTCTCACCTTTCTGAACTTTGCCGAGTTTAATAAATCTACATTCTATCTAGATGTACCGATTCTAG